TCGCTCTCTCTGACCCTTAAACGGAGACAGCCCTGTATTTAGAGTGGTCTTCTTCCTACTCCTAGTTACACAACTTCTTCAGGAAGTTCTCCCCTACTGATGTCAGCAGTGGATATATAGTTAAACAATATGGAAAAGTTCTGTCTGGTGACTCTTGCTGAATCTTGCTTGCCTATATTACTGTAGACAAGAATTAACCACCTACTTTCATGGTTTTACATTTCTGGTCACTTCAGTCACACAACTTGCTTGCTGATTGTACATCTCTGTTAGGTCTTCCACAGATGAGGCTTCATTTAAAGAGGCTAAAAGGTTTTTACAGTGCCTTGTGAGCCAGTGCATCAGTATTTCTGAAGCTCTTCTGCAGACAGAACTCCCTTTGAAGTCAATGGGAGTTGTGTCTGAATAAGGACTTCAGGATTTGGGCCTCAGGATATACATGCTATGATCAATCTTTTGAGCATAATGAATAACATTTTCTTGGCTTTCAGAACTATACTAAGCCAAGTAGTAGCCCTAGGGATTCAAAATGGGTTAGACAGAAGAATCTGCTTTGTTTCAACTTACATCTTTATTTAGCTTTTAAATCAGCGTAGTCCCCATGCCTAGTACTGACCTGCCCAAAGAAACCCTCCAACAATAAGACCAGATGTTTCAATAGTTAGTTTTACAATCAGACCTATCATGGCACGAGACACAATGAAACAGAGATGCATTCAACAAAAAACAAACGTACTTGCTGTAGACTGAGCTGTTTAGAAGTTGGGACCTAAACATACAGTCTGGAACAAAAGACTCGAAGGCTGAGAACTTTATTAATAATGTGACAGGGAGGTCTGCAGGCACAGATTTTGATCAGAACATCACAGTACCAGACACTGCGCAAACATCAGTTGGCAATACAAAAAGCCGACAGACTGGGTAGGCAAGACAGATACTCCCTGTCTCCTATTCCTCGTAATTACTCTGACTTTATAAAAGTTCAGCTAGGGAGAGATTATATGACTTACCGAACACCTCTCACAAAGTCTAGACTGAAACCTGACTGCCAACCTGGTGCCTTACTGTTGAGGCTATGCTCCCCCTTTTACACAATGACAGCAGTATATTACAGGTCTTAAAAAATCATAGCTTCCTGTCCCCATCCCAGCCTTGGCTGAACTCCAGCATCCCCAGCCACCTTCCTCCTGAACGTGAAGGTCTCCATTTTCCCCATTACCTGTGATGAGAATTTTGCCAGTGCTGATTTCAGTGGCAGCAAATCTAGATCCGGTGACAAATGACACCCTGATACGGGCAGCTGTCAGAGCAAGCAGCAGTGTGAGGCAGAGCAAGAGTTTCCTGCATTTTCAACCCTTATAGATCATCATGCAACTGGAATAATGAAATGAGGTAAAAGAGAACTAAGATAAAAGATAGACTGAAATAAGAGAAAGAAGGAAAAACATTGCAAATTCTTGTTGCTTGAACATTTTGCAGGCTTTTACCTCTGTGAAAACATGGGTGGGGGTGTATAAGTGACCAGCCCAGTTCCTTCCCTGGAGTCCCAGGTCTGATGCTGGCTCTTTAGCACTTTGGTGGAGGAAGTCCTGCAGCTTCTGCTTCTGTCTTCAGTCAGTGGAGAGTCTGAAAAACTGCAAATACCGTGCTGGTGTGCATTGCAATGGGAAATGTCAAAGTCTTCAGGTGTGAATATATATGGGACTGTCAGTAGCAGACAGAAAAGTGTTTTGGAGAGAAAACTCTAACACTGATGAGGGAAACATAAAAAGCAATGTATTACCCAGAATACAAGCAACAGGACTCCCAAACACAAGTTCAGCAGCTGGAAGAATTTCTCCACAGTATCAATAAGACTGAGGAGGTCTTCACTGTTTACCACATATGCCCTGACACAGCTGAACCTACTTAAAGTTTTAAACAAGTAAAGTCATGTCCAGCCTACAACTTGCAGCAGGGATGTAAACAGCCTGCTGATTCAGTCATACTTGTAGATGGTTTCCAGGGTTTGCTTCTTTGATTTCTTCTCTTTCTTTTCTTTTTGTTTTCTTTTTTATGTCTGAATAATGAGTTCCCTTCCCTCTCTCTCTTTCAACTAGGTCAAAAATCCTGTTTTCCCCAATTTCTTCAAAGCCTTGGCTTTGCTTTCCTGTGTGGATTTAGCCCAGGTGCTAGGCTGGTTCCTCCCCAGAGGCTTCCCAGTGGGATCCACTCCCTTATCTTTGTTCCTGATCTGTAAGGAAGAGGCAAAACAGCAAGCAAGGAGAGGCATGCAGCAAGACACAGCTCAAGACCACTCAGCAATTCCATTTGTCCACCTCAAAAATAAGGACAAAGTAATGTATTTTTCTCTTCAAATTTGGAAACAAAGACGAGTTTTTTTAGTTATAGCAAAATGATTCCCCAAGTCTCCTCTCCTTCTCATCCCCAGAGAGCACTCAGCTTTTTGGACCCTACAGCATCTGAGATTGGTTCTTGACACTTCCTTCAGCCACAGTTTGGAACACTCTCGACAATGGAATTTGGTTCCCTATGCCCAAAGTGAAGACTGCAACTTGCTTTTATCCGTCCTATTTGCATGCATCTTTTTGGGGGACAGATATAAGAAGATGGAGCTGAAGGAGTTGCTGTGTGATAAATTCAGACGCAATCCCACTTTTTGCTTACCAGAATACACTTTCTCTTTGCATTTGAGGACTGTAGGATAAAAAAATTAATATGTGTCATCAAAGGATATATGTTAAGATCCTATCTGCACTCTGAATTGTAACTGTGTTGTACATAGGCATCCTGATTCACTACAGCAGTAGCTGAGGCGGCCTCTGGGGTAGCACCACTAGAAACAAATTGTGCTCTCTCTGGAGCACTGCGAGCTATGAAATGATTTCCTGAAATACGCATCTTCCTACTGACATCCACGATGAGGCTGACAGCGGCTCCCAGACTGCAGAAGATGAATGAAACTTGTATTCACGCCAGCTGTGTTAGAGATCCAGTACGACACACTGTATATCAAACGGAAGAAGGATTCATCCAGGGAAAATAATTTCAGCTTCCAAAGAGAGACTTAAGAAGGCTAATAAGAATACATATTTTCTTAATGGGCCTTTGTTGCTCTTGCTTTAATCTTCAAAAACCTGTATTGTCACACATTATAACACTAATGATTACCTTTGTTGTTCATTCTTACTGACAAAGAGATGAAATACACAGTAAATATGTTAACAAGAGTGCATTGCAGTCTTAGGACCGGTGCAGCAGTGGTTTCCAGATGGAAACCTGGCTTAAAACTAGGCAAATGTTGTTCACCTGCATTAACTCTTTGTTGCCTTACTGTTTAAGAAAATAGCAGTGAAAGACAACTTGGGTTAGAGAAGTAAAAAGAGAATTAAAAAATGGTCTCTTTCAGACTGCTTCCATCACCACATTTAGATGGTGCTAATCTTGTCTTTGTGAAGCACAGTAACTCCCTTGCAGCTGTATATGAAAACAGCTCCTCTGAGTTTCCAGCTCAAATGGGCAGAGCAAAAGACTTGGCATGGGGAGCCCTGTGCTCTGTTTTCAGCTCTGCCACTAGAAGGACATGACAGGAGTAAAGCATTCAAGGCCTCTGTTTGTCAGCCTTCCCCAGATTTCAATCAGCTGATGAAGTCTGTCGATGACACAGAGCTGGGATATGCAGTTGAGACAGAGGAGTGGCAGGACACCGTACAGGAGGAAACCAAACTTGACAGAGAGTAGAGAAACAGAAATAGGGTCAAAGGTGGGGAGCATAAAGTACAAGATGGTGCCTTTGCGGACTGGACTGCAGAATCTTCTCCTGCAAGCTGAGACCTCCTCAGCTGAGGGCAACCACTGGTCACTTGTTAGATTATGATGTCCACAGCAAGAACTTGAGGGGAGAGAGCTCAGACTCAAGCTGAAGGACAACAGTACAGTAAGAGTCAGGAAAATGATGAAGCTGGTAATAAGAAGAGCAGTGAGGTCTGTGGTGGTCTTTAGCAAGGGTAGTTGAGACACATATTCTACAGTAACATCTTTCCAAAAAACGGTGCTTCATCAGTTTATAAAAATCAAATTCCAGTCCTATGATCCTACATTTTGAATAGTCGTAGCTCCTGATTTTCAAACTGGTTATGAAAGGGGAACTGTTTATTGCCTACAGTAACAGAAATGTTCTCAAGGCATACTTTGTTTGTAAATCTGACTATGGGAATGGTTTGAGTGCTACCTGCCTGTTTAAAATAGAAGCAAAATACCATGTGCCAATGGATGAGTAACATAAAATGGAACTAACTGGTCCAGTTTAATTACCTATGGTAAACAAAGCACAAATATGTGGCAAAAACTAGACATTATAGAAAGTTTATTTGATCTGTTATATTATTTCAAAAGTAGTAACCTACCTGGTGCCTTATTAATCAAACACAGAAATTAGATTTAAATACATATTTAAATAGGATAATATTTAAATATAAAAGCTTTATCTTAGCAGCATGCCTTCACAATTTCAGTCATCTTAAGGTACTCACTTATGTATTGATTACCTGATTTCACAGGTCTCATTTTCCATTAGTTTTTCAGAAGCAATTGTAAAGTCATTTCTTGATTCCATTAACATTATTTTTCCTGTTATTTTTCAAATTCCATTATTTCTTTTCCAGACTTTACACAGTATTTCTGTCAAGAACTCTTTTTCCAAGTGTGAATATATTTCAGTATGTACACAGTACCCAAGGAATTATTGCAACACAGATTTTATTTTAATTATAAGCACAAGGTCACAAGCTGAGCTTTGTTATACTTTAAAATACATACTTCAATTAACTACCAAGCTACACTGCTCTTACCAAAAGGCATCTGTAACACTACAGGGGAACATCTTAACTTTAATCCATCAACATTGAAATGTAGTCTCTGTAGTGAAAAGTATTTGTTGCTGGATCTAGAGCTGTGGAAAGCATGTCCTCCATTTCTTCCTGAGTAAAGGGCTCACCTAAAAGACAGCACAGAATAACACTTTGTCTTGATAAATATTCTTTTCAGGGCTGGCAAATTACCCTGGTTTTCCCTTGCAAGGATCTCCTTTCAGTCCTCACACAGAGGAGAAAAGGGGCAATACTTAGGATCTCATTTCTTCACTTGTGCCAGTGTAAGTCCTGCATACCAGGCAAGCTGGTCTACAGGGAAGGAGACAGAAGGCCTGGATCTTCTGATCTCCTTTTAACTCACAGACTCCAAAATGGCCTGCTCCTCTCTGCCACAGGGATTTCGAAACAACCATTTTTGTCAGAGTGAATTCTTCTAACGTGTACATCAGAATTATTATCTCTCATCTGGCTATTCTTTCACTTGTATTTACATCATGAAAGGCTTCTGGTTTTTCTCTTTTAGGAGCTTCAAAGCCACTGATGGCCTCCTGCACCCCTCTTTGAGAGCAGGGTCCCCATCTGAGGATAAGTCTTGCGCAAAGCCTGCACATCATTTTGTACTTGAGGCAGGCAGGCATGCGTCAGCTGTGCAAGAAAAGCAGGCTCTTCAAGGGATAGGGAGGATTACATGATATACAACTTAAATCTGCTCTTTGAATCACTTTGTTTGCGTATGGCACAAGAATTAAGATCAAGATAATGTAGGAATTAATGAGCACTGAAATTACCTGAAACATCTGGAAATCTAAACTACAGTTTTACTGGAGGACAGAAAAACAGGCACATACTTAGGAAGCACAGAGATGTGCACAGAATTATAAAATATCCATGTGAGACTGTATTATGACTCTTAATAATAATAATCTTTACCTTATAATGTCTGCAAGCAGGCAGATAAATGTTGTTTCCCTGCATTATTCACCAGTGAAATGGTCCAGTCTGCAGTCGCTCATAACAGTACCGTTCAAAGACAACTTAACTACTCCTGCAAGTTTTGGCATGCAGATCAAGGTCCAAAAGATGCCATATACACATGTAATGTTTATTTACTTAAATATTGATATTACAAAAATAATTTTACTTTCTTCCGTCAAATATTTGACCAGGTCCTCTTTAGGAATACATCCACATTGATTCTCATCCAAAATCTTTCAAGAAAAAGAATAGAATTTGTGGTTTTAACCATACTGAATTAAGAATCAGCAATTTCTTTCTAGAAATTAGATACTTGAATGTTTAGTTACAGACCTCAAATGCATTCAGGAGAACATCTAGTGGAATAGGCCGGTAGCTGAAATCATTGAATCAGAAAAGTTAAGTCATTGTTTGCCAGGTTGCCGTACTATTCTGAAGGACTAAAATATGAGTACTAAAGGAAAGGGAAAACTTGTTTTCTGTGAGAATTTACTAAGTTTGTCTGTCAAACATTTAATTCCAGCTTGCCTTTTTGGAACTGTCCATATCTGTACCTCTTACATCTTTTATTGTTCTCCTGTTTAATTTTCCTTGTGCTAAGGAGCCAGATGAATGGCTTCTGCATGTCCGGGCTGGCTGAGTGGGTTAGTAGGAATCAGTAAGAGCTGAATCATTCCACGTAGCCAATGCACTGAAAAGAAGATGGCCAAACCAAGAACACAAAGTTTTGTCCAGGTATGCTAGTAGCCAGGCAACAGCTCACCTGGTGGCACTTTGACAGTCTAAGGAGCTGATGACGGCGAAGGAAGCTGGTAGCTATAAAAGAAAAGGTCTGTCTAACAGTTTCAGAGAGACAGGAGAATGGGACACGTGCGTGCATGCATATGTGTCCTGATTTCAGAGCTGGAAAGGAAGCCCCATGCAGCAATGGAGACCTTCCACAACCAGCAGACTCTCACCAACCTCCAAGAATACTAAAGAGAAGATGTTGAAGCCAGGGAGGTTCCTACTGCTCGATCATTTCGTCCAGACCTGCCTCACTCTTTTACTATCTAAAAATCAAATGTGCTAAGAAGAGGCCTTGTTTTTTGTGATTCAAATCTCCAGTGCCCTTGGACAAGTGAACTATGGACAGAGTGCTCCAAAAGATAAAGTGGGTCTTGACAAGCCTGCACTAGCCTGGGGAAAGGGTGTGGGCTGGTTTTTTTCTTGCTTGTGTGTGTATGTTTGTGTAGAGGGGGTGTGGAGGAGGAGAAGAGAGCAGTGACGCATCATTTTGTGAAAGGGTGACCATCAGTGTGGAGCCAGAAATGTGCCATGAAGGTCAGAGAAGGCAAAACTGCAGGAACCTGGGAAGGCAATGCACCTGCAACGGCACACCGGGACCCAAACCCTGTTGGTTGGTCCATGTCCAGGCATGGGTGCAAAGACCCTCAAACACCTCCCCAGGGTGGACCTCACTGCCTCTGGATGCTGTGAGACAGTTTGGGGAAATCCTGTAGCTATTTCATGTGTAGAACATCCCCCTACCAAAGGCCCTCTGTGTGCAAAATGATTTCTCAGTGTTCAACAAGACTGAGTCTCCCAAAACCCTTGGCTACCATCCTTAAAAAGAAAGATAAAATCCCTATAAGTAATCTTGTTTTTAGTGCAAAATATCAAAATAGCACAAATTCCTGTGTACATGCAAAGATTTCTATGTACCTTTGAAAAACAAACAGCGTTTTTGTTCTAGACTTCTAGATCAGCAGTCTTTTAGAGTGCCATTTTTGTACACTCAGCTGTACCTGGCAGTCATTTTGAGACAAGAACATGAAGCTGATTTATACAACTTATTAAAAACACACTGTAACAGACTGTGCTTCTCAGTAACTGTAACTCACATGTTCAGAGAAAGTAATGGTTATGACCTTCATTTGCATATAAAATATTTCAGAGATACACAAAACACATTCAATAGCAAGTTAATTCTGATCCACATTAAAAATACAAAAGCTACACATTATGACAATTCATTACTTTAAGCTGTTATTATTTATATCATCTGTACAACATAATTTTACATAGACAAAGTAATTTTGAAACAAAATCTATCAAGTTAATGTAAACTGAGTTTAAATAAGAAAATAAATCTGTATGCCTTCCAGTTACACATAATTACTGTAGATATATTTATTCAGAATCAGCCCTGGCAATCTGGAATAAACTACAGACATAGAAAACCCACTTTCCATTACCTTCTGTCGAGTAGCGCTTTTGTCATCACTGGAAGAAATTTTTCCAGATTAACGTATCCAGGTGATTCTTCTTCTTCTACCTAAAAAATAGAACTTTAGTATGGCAGGCAAACTAATGAAAAAAAACAAAAAAAACCCAAAAAAACCCCACCAACCCCACACACAAAAATGCCAACAACAAAAAAACCACAACAAAACGAGAAAATTTGGGTGCTTCCTGCATTAAATTTAGAGTTAAACTTTGAATATTTATATCACAGTTTTAATACCACAAGGCACCATAACATCTGAGTTAAATGCTTGTGATCAAATAGAAAGAAATTAGAGGCAGAAACATCCCAGGCAAAGTACAGGCCTGCTATTCCAGACAATTTCAGCAACTCAATACTGCCCTCTTGTGCTCAAAAACCACTCATGCAAAGGAACTGGATGCCCAGTAACTGATCTTACCTTCCGCAGTGACGCAGCAGAGGTTTAAACATTCAGATTGCACTCACGCCAGTAAAGTCATGCAGGACCTGGAACATCTCTGACCAGTGTAACGTGACCACCCATGACAGCAACCCATCAGCACGCTACCTTGCAAGATTTTGGCCTGTGCCACCTCACGCTCCCCCAGAAGCAGTCACCAGGCCTGGCTTGGACCGTAGGGACTGTCCTCCAGCAGCCCGCTTTGTGCAGCCACGCTGCATTTACCAGTGTGGACATGAGCTGCTCTGCGCCAGCTGGCTTCAACACCCACAGATGTTTCTGGGCATATTTAATGAGCTGGTTTGGACATAGCCCCAGCCTAGTACACCTCGAGGATGGAATTTGTTGCCTCCACATGTTTCATAGCCAGAGAGCCGTCAAGGGAAGGACCAGAGAGGCAGGCAGGCTGAGTCAGGGCAGTCTGAAACAGTCATAAGGCAGCCCATAAAATACTACACAAAGCAAAGCTCCCCTTTGCCTTCCCCAAAAAATTAACAGATTAGTCTCAAAACACCGGGGACTTGTAGCAGCATTCTCACTGCATTCCTGTACTTTCACAGGAGATGAGCAGTGTGGTAAAAACTGCCCCCTATCATCCCAGTGCATCCCTTCCCTGAAAATGTCAAGTTTTACCCTCAGGAGCCCTCTTAATGGAAGTAGCCTGCTCCTGTTTGTGTTGAGACTGGATGCATGCCTCGTCGTCTCACATGGCAGCAGTGATACCTTGTTGGGCTTTTCAAGACACAGCTCAGACTGAAAGAAGACTCAAAGAGGCACCGATTTGAAATCTCCTGAGCCAGGAAAAGATGAGGTAAGAAATCGTCCTCTTGAGAGCTGGGTCAGAGCTGGGGATGATGCCTGATACATCCAGTTGCTTAAATGAGAGCTGCAATTGCTGCTGCGTGCTCTTTTCCAGTGCTCTTGAAGGGTTTTCGTTGCTAAAAGCAGGCAGCCACCCCCTCTTCCTGCTTTAGAGTGGAAATTGGCTTGAAAAAAGCACTTTTTCCCTTCTGTTTGGTAAGCCTAGCGGAAGGGATCTTTAGCAAGGAAATGAAGCTGTTGCATGCTTCATGCTAAATCAAATGGTACCCTTTACCATTACAGAACCATTTGTTTTACTGCTTGATTGATTGATGTAACAAAATTCCTGGCAAAACTTCTTTCCAGTGACATAACAGTTAGTCAATATACTGAACTATTCCATGCATCACAAATACTGAGATGTAAAAGTACACAGGATGTTTTTGGGATATATCTGTGCTTCAAATAGTGTTAGGTCAGAAGTCCACAGATGCAGAAAAATAGATATCGTAGCTATTTATTGGAAATAGATAGATGTGTCTTATATTAAGCAGAACAATTAAAAGCAAGGACCCAAAACATCCACGATGATGATAAATTATATAAACCATGTTTAGGAGCCAAAAAACATTAGATCTGCTCATCCAAACAGTTGAAGGTCATCCTAATTTTCATACCAGAAGAACTCACAAGCAATGACCGCTTCAAAGCTCAACGTAACAAATACCTGTGAATGTGTCGGCCCTCACTGATTTATCTCTTTTTGCTGGTGTGTTATTTGTGTTTTGCCTTCAGAAAGAAATCTGTGAAAGAAATGTGTCCTTCCTGACAATGGACCTTGTCCTGGGAGGTGATGAGCAACCTAAGCTTCCTCTGACCCAGAAAGAACAGCTTCTGTTTCAGTGGTTCTGCAGGCCCAGCAATGTCTTGAACTGATAAAATTAACCCTATTTATAACATTGGATAGATACATGAATAAATTGAATATATTAACCTCACCTAAGTCAGCAAGTATTCCGATTTTACAGGTATATGTGTCCTCTTATTCTTCCTTATGCTCATGCCTGTTCTACTCTTCATTTCCCACTAATATTTTCCCTTTTCTGTAATTGTTCCTTTTTTCATAGTGACTGTGACAATAACAGTATTTGCTTGGTCAAACTCTGTGAGTTTTATTCTGGAAGATGCTGGGGCTGAGAGGTGGAGGAAGGATTTTTCTCTTTTTCATGTATAGGTCAGGATACTGGCAATTGAGCTCTCTTACTCTTTTCTTCTTGTCCCCAAAAATTTGGATGGTTGCAGTAGCAGTCTCTCCTCAGTAGGCTTGTCTGGTCTCTTGTAGATCAGAATTTAGTGTGAGAGATCTCATGCTCAGTCTTGTGAAAATGGTGCAGCTGCTTCAGATGAGCAAGTGCAAAGAACCATCAGAGGAGAATGATCTTTTACCATGATGCTGCAATCTGTCTGCTCTGGTTCTGTACTCTCAGTACCAGATTGTCACAGCTCCCACTGACAAACCAGACAAAATGAAAAGAGAAATTATGGTGCTTAATATAGATGATATATTTAGTGGCCTACAGCGATTTTTGTTTGCAGCAAATGAACAGTGCAACTGACTCAAGATACAGAATTGAAAAAAAGGAAGGGGTTGCTTTGATCCCTTCCCAGTCCAGGGGAACCAGGAGAGTTTAAGGCCTCCCCCTCTCAAAGAGATTGGACTTTTTTTTGTTTCAGTTTTCAGCATTGCTAACAATTTAAGATAAGTAATAGATAACAAAGTACAATGCAATGCAGCTATGAAGCAGAAGATTCTTGAGATACAACAGTGTAACACAGAACCATAGTATGGCTGTGAGTGTAGAGATATGAAACATTGTAACATAATGGGTGCCACAATGCAGTTGTTATAGAAGCTGTGGATATACCCTCCATCTATATTAGATGTCTAATTTTAACACCTGCTCAAGAACTAATTTTTATTACTTAATGATCCACTGTGTGTCCATGGCATTTCCAGAAGAGTGAGATGGTCAGGGTTTGGATATCCTAATCCAACTGAGGTTTAGGACGTTCTTTTTCATTAGCCAAAGCCAATTTTTCCTCTGTTTTCTATAAATGCTCCTCCATCTTGGTACAGTGTCACCATGACCTTCAGGATAAAAGAGAGTCAAAAACTCCTCATTTCAACCCATCAACACTGCTACCTCATCAACCTAAAGGCATGCTTCAGGGCAACCTGAGAGACTGCCTGCCTCAATCACTTCCATGACACTTCCAACCTCTCAGAAAAGAGATTAGGTTTCCCACACAGCAAGGCAGAAGGACCAAACTTGGGCAAGTTTAAGATTGAAAAAATACAAAAGATCTAAACATTTACCTTTGCAATCAGTTTATGTAGTTCTGCCTCAGTTGGGAAGCAACCCAGTGACCTGATAATTGAGCCTATATCTCTGAAAGAAAGAAGGAAAGAACGAAAGAAACAAACAAACATATTTGTCAGTAAATCTGCAATACAAGAGTGCCTGTAGAGAATTCAGATACCAATTCAGTGCTTGCATAGAGGAGTGTGCATGTACAAGCACACAAGCACACACAAGTATATGTGTGTGGACTTTTAAGATGGTGTCTCACTAAGCAATGTCCATTTTTACTGACATTAATTATTCTGTAGCTTTTTGGAAGAGTATAATTGTCCTCGTGACTTTCCCCAAAATTCTTCTTTACCATTGTGTTGCAGCATACTGTGTGCAGGTTACTTTTGACCTGCAGTCCTCTAATTGTTAAGCTTTAATTCAGTAAAGTCTATATTTATAGCTAATAAAACACTCAGAAACCTACTGAGATGAAAGATAACAAATAAAATAAATGTTTGCATTAAATGCTATAAAGATACAAATTCTAACTGCAGTAAAGAGCAATTACAAAAAGTCAAGATGGAGGCAGCCTGAATGAGCTTCTGTGCTCTGAATGAGTCAAACAGACCACCACAAGGGCTTAGCACCACCCTGTTCATGCTGCAAAATAAATTCATAGCTTTCATTTACTACTGAACCCGGGGCACTTGTTCTGAGGCTCTAAATAAAATCCTGACCAAACTGGCAATGATTCAAAAAAGTTTTAAGATTAACAACATCACATGGAAATTGTGCCATCACCTCCTGCCTCACCTCACGCTCAGCAAAACCACAATGTGAGTAAGGTACACCAGGCCCTGCAAGAGTTTGCAAAGCCTGGCATTGCTGGCTGCTGTTCATGACAGTCTGTGTGTGTGCCAGCACAAGGATGTTGTCTGAAGTGTCTGTGGTCAAAAAAGTCATGTCACATTTGGTAATAACATGGACTTTAAAGGACCCAGGTAGGAAACTGTATTTTCCTCCCAGCCACTTCCTCTCACTTAGTTCAGCAGCTGCAGTTTCTGCTCTGTAGTTTCCAGCATGCAAAAATGATGGTTAAAATGAGCTTATGTTCATACAGGTTTTGTAACACAGACAGAAAATTTTGGGCCATAGTTTTCACCCTACATATAGCATTTTCAGTGATAAGATTTACAAAATCATGAAAGCCCTTGACTCAGGGTGTGTTGTAGGCAGCATGAAACAATACAGTCTTCCTCATGTTTAATTCCTTACTAACTTGTATTTGCATTAGGAGTCATGCAATACTGATGTCGGCCTGACAAGCCAGGGTAATTTTCCATATTCTTCACAGGAGTCTGATATTTCAGGCAGTAACATTCATATGTCTACAACTGTAGTTAAGAATTGTGCTGTACTGCCACCTTCTGATACAAGATACAAGCCATTAATAATCCTGTTATTGTGATACAGCCCTGCAATATGAATCTGGGATTGATTAGACAATAAATTGTTGTTGTCAGTAACTGCACTGTGATAAAAATTAATGTGAAATTGCACATTTATGATGTTAAATAGACTTCTGAATGTCCCCCCTCGCATGCTATGACTTACTGTCTGAATTAATACATTTTTAAAAGGTCTATTTGTATTATTTCTTTGTTGTAGCATTTTCTCAAGCTCTATAGCCATATATAAAACAGTGAGGAATGTAGCAAATTTTACAGCTCTTTAGCCAAGACTGCAGATGTAAATGACCATTTCTACATTTCACTTCTATGAAGCACCCATAAATTCTTAAATTTAGAGGCACAAGAAAGCATGCATGGCTAAGACTACCACATAAATATTTGTGCCTCTGTCGCCTCTGTTTTATAATGTAGAAAAGATGCTGGGAACATTTAAAGGTGTTTTCCAATTTGGCTTTGTGAGGAATGTCTAATGACAACAATTTCACCAGTTCTCACACTCCTTTGTAGTGTTTATACTCATTAATTGATTTATAATTAAAAGCTTGGGTGATATTCTTGTGAAAATGGTAATTGGAAATAAGAAAAATCGCTTCAGTAAACTTTAATGACAACAGCATATAACAACTTCAGAACCTGCTCAGTGAGACATAAACATGTTTTATGTATTTTATAACAAAAGCCATATTGTTATGCATATGGATGTTTATGTTAAAATGAAGTTAAAGTAGCACTGTCAAATATTTGAACTTTAAAAACACTAGAATTAATATTATTTAGGAATTTTTAAATTTTACTTCCTTTAGCTCTGTATCTTGTAGCCAGTTATGCCCTGATCAGTCCATGTTTTTATCTTCCACTGAACTTTTTTTTACTCCCTTTGTATTTCCATAACATTGCATACTAAAGGTATCGCACATGGAGTTCTCTCTCCTGACTCCTATCTGTGCATCACATTCCCCCAGTTCTGGTCATCCCATTTCAAAAAAGGAGAAAGCTGAACAAGAAGGAGCACAAAAATGAATGGCCAGAGCTATGGAATAGCATCTCCTAAGAGGTTAAACACACATGGACTCTTCAGCCTTAAACTACTGTGATGGAGGACGGATGTGACAGACAGCTATGAAATCATCAATGGTGTCAAGAAGATTAATAGAGAACAACTGTTCACTATTTATCATAAAACAAAAAAAAACCCCAACAGGTGCCACTCAAATCATTATGTGGCAGATGTAAAAAACCAATACTGCTTATTTGCTCAATACCTCATATTCCTCCCCCAGGTAACTACTAATAGGTCAAATAAGGGTACTGTGGTAAACGGACCTTTGGTGCAATGGAGTATGATCTTTTTAATGTCAATACTATTATTATTGTTGTTACGATTATTACTGTGTTATATAATCAAATTATATGCAAGTTTCTTCCAAAACTCCTAGGAACGCCTCCCTGCCAGAGCAATATCCACCTCCCATGTCACTCCAGATGAAGAGGGCTGAGCAGGAGGCACTGCAGTTGGAGACACCTATGGAGAGCAGGTAACAGTGACACACTGCCAGGGACGACCCTTGATATGCTGGGACTCTCCTGAAGGCAAGGGGATCCATAGGGGATCCTGGACCTGTAGTGCCAAATAAGCGCTCGGAGCAGAGATTTGCTAGTAAGAACTGTAGCCTCAAACTTCTTGTCCACTGCAGTTTCCTCTTGCCTCTACTCCACCAGTCCCACCATCCCTCTCTCAAGGCAGCTTCAGTCTTTAACCACTGAGCAATGCAAAATGTTAAACAAGCAAAGACATAAATCAGGGCCAAAAGGACTGTTTCAGTTACATATTCTGATAAAGCAGATGCAGGCTTAGAGAGTTATTTATCTCTGTACTGGACCCTTTAATAGTTCTGTATGAAGATATTTACAAACCTGACGTCCACAGTTTTACTGCCTTCATGGTCAAACACCTCAAAAGCTTCTATAATCTTTTTCTCAATTTCAGCCACTGTGCCCTCTACAAAAAGAAACAGAAGAAAAGAAAAAGAAAAATTAACTGAGCTGTTGCAACTGATTTATTCCCAATTTGAGAACTGCGACAGCAGAAGCACCAAAACTGAATAAAGGGTTAGAAAGGAAAGGTACTTTTAAAAAGCAGAACGTTATCCTAAAAAAAAAAAAACCCAAACACTCTAAATGCAGAATCTGTCATTTATATTAGTAACACGGCCTTGCTATAGCTCTGCAGCTACACCAGCTCTGGTGTAATGGTGTGTCTCAGCTGCACGTCCACAGAGTTAGCCATAACATATGAAAAGCTGAGGACCAGAAATAAAGAGATGGCTAAGAATGTGCACAGTGAATATGTCCCATGGTAAATAATTTATTCCAACAGTTTGAAAAGGAAGATGATCCCAGTGAAGGGGAAGGAGTAATTTGATGCATTTGCTTTTTATATCTCAGTCTCAAAGAATGAGGAAAGAAGAACAAGAAGTTATCACAGTTATGTCTCATTTAAAGGCAAAAATTGCATTTTGGGGGGTAACAAAAGTACCAAGAAATAAATTCTGAAGAGAAAAATGTAAGGAGAGGAAGGGATCCATCCGAAAACATCCCTCCCTGGAAAGGAAGCCAGAGTAAAGAAAGAGTAAACTGGTTAGCCCATTTATTAATGTTTGTTTCCAAAAGACAGAATAGAGGAAGGAAAATAATATGGAGTTGACCTTTTGGTTCCTGTGGCTAAATACAGCTTCCAGTTGGCAAACCAACTCTTAGGAGGCAGCATTTTGTGAGCTGTCCCCACAGCCTCCACAGAGATGACACAGGGAAAATTTGAGTGACAGCCAGAACATAAGATTGGTATCAGGTACACTTGTTTTCTCATTTTCACGCTTCTCTTCTGTATTTTCAACATCATAATTAAATCATAGCTCTCCTCTATTAGACGACTTATTTTTTCTTTAAGGTCATCTTGTGTTAAGTGCTGTTGAGCAGCTCTGACCAACACTAAACCCCTGAACCTTGTTTCCACTACTAAGGCATAACAAACTCATACCTGGTTTTCTACAGTCTCAATAGTTTGGGAATCGCTGGGGCTGCAGTCAATTTATCTTGATCATTTTGAGGTCCAGGTGCCTGCTGCTTTCCATCTGTGTTTGGTACTCGACTCCTCCAGAGGACACGTAAAGAGAAGAGAGGTAGGAATAAACCCTGTATTCCTCTCTGAGACTTTATTCCCCTGATGGAAGCAGAGGCAGGCACATGTAGGATGGATTGGAGACTGGAGCTCACTGAGGAAGGAAAGCCCCGTTTAGTCCCCAGATAGAGGACAAGCTGTATTCTTCTCATAGCTTGACAATAATGCCTACCTTACATGTGCCTAAGCAGTAAAATCCACATTTAATTCCTTTCCAAAAAAACCCCACTAAAATCTAAGTGTAGAAGAAACCCTAAAGACTCTCAGACACTTAAATTTGATGGGAGTTTTTTCAGCGACTTCAAAGAGCCCAGGAACCAGTCTCCAATGTAGACTGTTGGAGTTCAGTTCTTGAGATCAGGCACTACAATTGTACACCATGTCTTGCAACAGAGAAATTCTGAATATTTATAGATGCATGTTCTTGGCCTGATGAGTGAGCCTGCTGTAGAAATAAAAATCAACTGGGGGAGGCAGGGAGAGATTTCCAGTACTGGAACTATGTAGCCATCCAGCCTTTTCAAGCTTTGCTTTCTGTGAAGACAGTATACACTAATCTTACCTGTTTCAAGAGGCCTGGCAAAAAAACGTCCTGAAATGAAATGAACTTGATGATTTAATCTCAGTACCAGACAATCTATATTTCTTCCAAGAACTGAGCGGAAGTTATGATTAAGAGCCACATCAATGGAAGATAATAGAATATACTGTAGTCCTCTCTAAGACTTTGTGTGAGATGAGCGAACACTTAATAAGCTGTTGTCTAAATCTCATGTCCTCCCTCCAAGAATGGAAGCCAAAGATTTTCAACATCCTTCAGGATAGCAAAGCTAGTTATCTAAGACTTCTATGACACACTCTAAACCTCTCTTTGGGAGGGAGAAAAAGATGGATTCCAGCTCTAGGATAAGTAATGGATAAAGGTTTAAGATTATGCCTTCAAGAAGGGCATCAAGGGATCAGACATGCAGTTAACTCAGCAGATACGGTGCTCAAATGCACTGAAATATTTCTGTACAAGGAGACTCTGCTCCATGAGTAATCAATGAAAGTTTCATGTTGCCCCATGGAGCAATTTTTTAGTGGTTTCCAAGATAGAAATACCTATGCTCTAAACGAATAAAAGATTTCCCTTACTAATTCTACTATCTAGAAAGACAATACATAATATCAAACATAAAATTTGTTATTTCTAATGGCTTAAATAAACAAATACTGAAACATACCATGCCAAAAAAGATTACAGTATCTACAACTACTGATACCCTCAAATGCATTCTGTAGACATGATATACTGTTTCCATTTTCATGCTGCTAAAATGCTTCAGATACTTGTCGTTTTTTCTCATTCTATTTTCCTACCACATATGCAATAATAAGACAAAACATCTTAAAATCCATTCCTCAGCTACATTAACTGTGTATTCACTATCAGTTTCCTTTCCTGTACTATGCTTTGCTATTTCCCCAGTTTGTTTAGCATGAGCTACATAAAGCTCTAGACACCGCCAGTTAAGTAAGACTGGCAGGGAGCTGGGACTCCCAAATTAATTCTGCTGGTTTTTGCAGACTGAACTGTTTCTCTTCAGCTTGTCCAGGCTGTTCCCCTGCCCTCCGAAGCCCATTTGAAGCCAGCCCTTAAGCAGCTCACCTGCCTCAGTTGTGTCACTTCTTCTTTAAAGACCACAGCTTCAGCCTTTGTAGGGAACAGAAGCAATTAAACAGATGTGGCTCTGCCAGACTCCTGAGTAATGAGCATTTTGAAAAGTGGTTTCTGCTTGATACAGTTTGATAGATTCTACCAATCACGTAACTGTATGAGCTTGCTTTCTCTTCTTCGTCAGGGCCAGTTGCTCTGATTGTTCAAAAAGCCAACCCTTCCTTTCACTGAAGAGAAATTATGTGCAGAAAAAAAAGAGTTATCAAAAGAACTGGTAGGCCAACATCAAACAACCACCTAAAATGCTGGGGAGCAGTGTCTGTCGGCTACGCACAGGAAAATATTTAGTCCCATTGTAGCCAGATGAACCTATTTATACAATGTGATACTCTGAAACACTTTTCTTGCTATGTAAAGCGTGATTAAGGGGTTATTTGTAGCAGCACCAGTGGACCTTATTTAATTACTTAGTGATACTGCTAAACACATCTGAAATGTTAATATTTATAATAATGAATCTGTGTATATTTGAATAAATATAGTCAATTTTATATTTAAACTCCTATATGCACGTGGACAGCTCATTAATTCCTCCATCCTCTCTTCACGGTGCTGTTACAGTAACAAGCAGGCGTAAGAAAACCACTGAGGTCTCTGATCACAGGAACCATCTCACATGGGGCTGCCTCGCTGAATCAGTCACTCTGAAAGGGACACAACTGGGTAACCTCAGCTCAGTGACAGCCAGTTTTGGCGTCGTTCACAAGCTGTTCTGGTTTTATTTAAAAGGGTTGTTACCAACAGCACTTTTGTAGATCTTCCCATTCCTAGCAGGGGGCCCATCGGTAGGAAATACAGAATCACACCAGCGGCTACACTTCACCCTTTGACTACTCCAGCACCATTTCTTCTCTTTCCCAAGAGCCATTATTTCAATCAAATGCCCACTGAAATGTCCACTCCGCTTCAGTGAAGCTTCTCCTTCTGCTCACAGATACAAGCTACGGTGTTTACAACCACTCTCCTCACACTGCTTCAATGCGCTTCCATAAGGGCCTGTAACCATCGTTTGCAAATCCAGGCTCTTCCCAACACTCCCAAAATCACAAGTAACGCTCTCTCTTGCCAAACAAGGCCAAAAAGGTGACAAAAAGGTAAAAGGGTGTTTGAGCTATGGGGAATATCTGAGCCATCTGGAAAAGTTAAGTGTGAAGTCCATGGTTAAAATCTGTGCTTAGTGCATGGTCAAAAAAAAAAAAGAGATGTGGCCAAGAAGCAGAAATAGCTTAATAGCTCTTACTTCTTTCTTGATCAACAGCTTTAATATGGAGCTAAAATCCTAGAAATGTGTCAAGATTTAGGAACAGTTCCCCAGTATGAAGGGAGGATGGTGCTGCTCCTGAAGACACAAAACCAGCATCATGCTCCCTTCAAGGGAGATTCCCAATTTATTATCTAGGTGTATAAGGCAAAAGGATAAAAGAGATTAACTAAAAAGCAAAAAATATTTGTCTTTGACATTGGCAACCACTGTTTCATCTGACCTCTTCCAAAATCCTTCACAAAATCACTAATGGAAATAAGGGCATAAGAATAGAGAAAAAAATGTGGTGTCATAACATGAACTTTTGGTGATGATATCAGCATTAATACTGCTTCTCTTTCCTACATCCAGAGCAAAGTATACAAGTCCCTAAACTATTCTGCCACAAATGTTTGTGTTGTCTTCATGTTAAGCACATTAGGGAGCTTGATTGACTTAGAAATAATTCAGAAACCTTGTCCCACCTCAAAGAAGAAAAGCTTAGAGCATTTAATTAATTCTATTTTCAGGAAATTACTAAGGAAAAGGAACACAGGAAGAAAACGATCTTGAGGCCATTTGAATCTGATTTACTGCCAAGACCTTTCCGCTCTGCAGAAGAAAAGGCATATATTAGTTTTTTTCTAGTGACTTTCTTAATTCCAGAGGAAGCTTCATGTACAGTTAGTCTCATTCGCTGAAACAGTAATTGTACGCTGTGCTCTAAAAATATTGAAGCAAGAGAAATAGGTTCTTCTCTACTCTGTACCTCATATAGCATGTATGATATTAACATATTAGATACCAGAAAAGAAAGGAACAATATGATTAAGCTCTAAGTTTGCAGAATATGCCATG